TGAGGGCCATATCCGAACTGACAACCGTACATACTGCACTTGAGAGCCATATTCGAGTTGGCAACTGTGTATACCGCATTTCCGAGTTTGCAACTGTGCGCAGTCTGCACGCTGCATTTAAGGGCAAGATCTGATTTTCCTCGCAACTGTGTGCAGTATGCGCACTATATCTGAGTGTTATTTCTGAATAGTGTCTGACCAATTTCGGACCCAAAGTACAAGTGTCCATGTCAGCTGAATGCATAGTAAATAGCTGATTTTGAGCTTGCACTTACTGTTTTGATAGTAGTCTGGCCCTAAGTAAAGGCCAAGTGTAGCATATGGTAATCCTGTTGTAAACAGTACAGTAAGCAAAAACTGATTGTCGTTTGATTGACAGATAGAGCATGTGACAAGAATATTAGTTTTTAAGTGCGCACCCGCGCGCGCCCAGACCAGATATTACGCGCCCAAGCTTGAGAGTGCGCGCCTATGCGCGCCCAAGCTTGATATTACCGTTAGAGTGCGCGCCCATGCGCGCCCAAGCTTGAGAGTGCGCGCCCGTGCGCGCCCAAGTTTGATATTGCCATTGGAGTGTGCGGCCATACGCGCCCAAGCTTGAGAAGTGCGCGCCCATGCACGCCCAAGCTTGATATTGCTTGAGAATGCTCGCCTATGCGCGCCCAAGCTAGATATTGTTGTTGGAGTACGCGCCCGTGTGCGCCCAGGCCAGATATTGCTGTTGGAGTACACGCCCGTGTGCGCCCAGGCCAGATATTACTGTTAGAGTGTGCGCCCGTGTGTGCCCCGGGCCAGAAATAGTTATTTAAGTGCGTGCCGTGTGCACTTGCGTTGGATATATATGCGCCCAGGCTAGATGTTGTCGTCTGAGTGCACGCCCATGTGCCGTTGTGCTGGATATTGTCATTTGAGTACGCGCCTATGTGCGCCCAGGCTGGGTATTGTCATTTGAGTGTACGTCCGTGTGCGCCCAGCCTATGATTATTATGAGATGATTTGCCTCCGCGCACCCGTTGATTTATTCCTTTGCTGATCAGCAACACCTCATGCACATGATATTTTCCCTCGCACGGGGAGCATTGGCGGTTCAGTCCCTGCACAGATGACCTGGCTCAGTCTAGCCCCAGTACATTCAGCATTTGTGACTGGTCCCTGTGCATGAGATGTATCACTGATCAGTTGCTGTTCAGCCGGGCCCCTTCAGGCGGTCCGCTTCTCGAGATTGGTGCAGTTTTCAGCCTGGCCCCTTCAGGCGGGCCCTTTCTTCTGTTGAAGTTTTCAGCCAGGCCCCTTCAGGCGGGCCCTTTCTTCTGAGATAGCTGCTGCTCAGCTGGGCACATTCAAGTGGGCTCTGTATTGAGTTGCTGTTCAGGCGGGCCCATTCAGGCGGGCCCTATATCGAGTTGCAGTCAGGCCATTCAGACAGGCCTTTACATCGAGTTGCTGACTACTATTCGGCCAGGTCTTGGAGACAGTACCCGTACTAGAGAGGGCGTGCTTTCTGTCCAAGCTGGCCCGTCGTCGTGAGACTACCCCTAAGTGGGGTAGATTCATTGAGAGGTTCCGTTACAGACATGTGGGACATCAGAGTTTCACTATCAGGGCCAATGAGTCCTCGACCTCGAGACACACGCTCGTGATCACCTACTCGGTGAAGGGGGCAGAGACGGGGGTGAAAGGCACCACGTACGACAGGATTGCTGATTACATATTTCGCAGGGAGAGCTATTGGAGGGACAACTGGCTGCACGTGGTGTTTCCCCGAGTACCTTCGGCTCCTGGGAGTGTACACTTCGATTTTGATGGATGCAACCCCAAGCCCCTTAATGAGTCTCGTAGCAACGACAAGAGGCGGAAGGACGACCGGATTAGGAGAGAGATAACCAGATCCGGGGTCCCAATCACTACATGCGTCCAGAGATCAGAGACGGACGAGTCGGACTTCGAGCCTTGCTCTGTGAGTGACGTTGATCTTGGCGATTATCTCGACTGAGACACTCACAGAGATTGAGTTTGTGGACAGTGACGGGAGCGTTGGAGACCAACGAGCGGAGACGTCGGAGGGCGACATTGAGGAGGATCGCACATCTTCTTGCACGGTATCTTCTTGAGGGTGATTGACTCCTACATGTCAGACGACCTTGGGTCTGAGACAGTTATTGGTCCCCCAAGAGGGGAGGGTCCGGTCCCATACCTTGAAGATGGCTATAGTCATTTGGTCGGGACAAACTTTGTTATGCAGGCTTATCGAAAGCCTCTTTACGGAGATCGCTTTCTCGACGTTTCCTACATTTACTCTGGTGGGGGAGGACGTATTGAGATATTGATTGGAGCTTCAGGCGACATCATTCTTGCGGAGGAGCTTTACCTCAGGAGCGTCGCAGATGAGGAGATGGCCAGCTGCATGACCTATATCTGCAAGATTGATCCAGCAGCGCCTCTCGAGATCAGCTATGTGGTTCCAGAGTCTATAGCCACACGAGTTCTCAATGACGAGGAGTCTCAGACGACAGCACTCACTCACGAGGGGGTACCGCTTATTATCATTGATTGAGGTTCCCTCTTTTCAGTCACTATGATGAATTACAACATTATTATTTATTAGTGACTGCAGCCCTCCGATGGCTGCTCCCTGCATGTTTTGTGTACTACTCCTCAGTCTTGTTTCTCTGGTTATACTCTTGCAGAGTCTGGTTTCTGGTCTTCTCATTTTGTGAGTGTCAATTGCTCTATGATGCATGTTATTTTTCCTTCTTATTTTATACAGGTTACACTCAAGGCAGCTTAAAGGACTCCTGAATGATAGGGACTCTGTTGACCTTGAGTCTATCCTTTATACGGGGTCAGGTGCAGGCCATAAACCCGAACGCCTCACTCTAAGCCGTGTGGCCGCTGGCAGGAGGGATAACCCTGACTACTCGGCTGTATGATAAAGTGTGACTGCCTCTGAACACACCTCAATTTTCATACCTATCAAAATTCCTGCTTGACAGCCTGCCAGTCCTCCAACCCACTTAGCTCGGTCTCGGGGAAGGACATCTCACCGGACCCTTGGAGCAGTGGGGGCGCGACACCGGTGCATAGTGGAAATGGAGTTCTTTGTGCTACAGGTAGGAACCTTTGTGTGATTAGGCTCTCAATGGGACACTGGACCCGGTTTCCAGCTTACGCCTACAAATTAGCAGTGTGCTTGTTTAGCTCTGTTGGTGACGCTGGACCCGGTTTCCAGCAGGTGCCGCTCCCTACCAATAGATGGAGCAGCCCGACAGATAAGCCCTCAATTCTGACGGTTCTCTTACCACCGCCGGGATAGACGGCTTACACAAGGGCTATTCTTAAAATAAAAAATAAAAAATAAATAAAAACCCTCTGTTGGTGATACCTAGCAGTGTGACTTGCTTCTGCACAGGAGTGTGATTTAGTCTGAATTTTGCAGTTTGTTCTTCAAGTAGAGAATTTTTGGAAGACTGTACTGTTTACTTGGAAGATATTGGAACAATGGACCTAGTTTGAAATTCCAGCATCAGCCTCAGCTGGGTATTGGCCCCAGGCCCCCGGATAACTCTCCGGGTTGTTTGCGAGGAATGCCAGGCCTGAACTTTCCCAATTTATAATAAAATGCTACAGTTCTTCTCTCGCCTCCCCCCCCAAAAAAAAACAGAGGCTCCCCTCCTCCCCTTCCAACCCAAAGGAGGCTTCTGACACGGCTCCTTGTGATAAGGCCCGAGTCAAGTATTCAGTTCTGAACTCACTCAAATTTGTGAGCTGATTATGTTACAGCCTTTCTGCCTCTTTCCATTTTTGCATCACATATTTCCATGTCAGCCTGATTGAATTCTTCCGTTCTCTCTTATATCCAGCTGCCATCTTCAGCCGAATAGAACACCTGGTCATCATCGCCATATTTGGGGGGCAACTGTCAGTCTAGATACAGCGATAATGCCCGGTGTTCTATTAGGGTGAAGATGGCCGTCAGTACTGCAGCCATTCTTATGTTTCTGTCTTTCGACTTCTTCCCGTGTTTGTTGCATAGGCTCCAGTGACTTTTTTTCCTTCTATTTTTTTGCTCAAAATTCGTATTCCATTACCAACAAGATTGGAGGCCGGGGGCCTCAACATTACACCCGGATGATTATCTTTCGTGCACCATCTTCTTTCCCAAAACATCTTCTGGCAGAGTTATAGAAAATCAATTAATTTTCTCTTAACCACCTCTTCACACAAGTGTAATGACCCACCACAACACAGACTGAGAACACTGCTGATTTCTGAGTTCTGCCGCTGGAATGGATGCCTTGCTGAGATTCCCGCATTCTGTTGAGTTTTCTAAGTCTGTGTGTGTGTGCGTGCTTGATGGTCTGCGTGCCTGTCTGAGTGCTGGTCGGCCTGAATGTGTGTGTGACCGGCAAGAGTGCTTGCTTGTTTGGGAGGCCCGTAGGGCCGGTACTTACCTGTGGCAGTGACATTGAGGGTTGCAGCAGGGGAAAACACTCAAGTGCCGGGGAAAGAGGCCCGCGACACTTAGAGCAGCGGAAAAACACTCAAGTAGCAGGTAGGCCGGTACCACACTAAGTAGAAGTAGATGTGCCGGGCACTCCAGGCCGAGCAGAAGAAGACAAAAGTTGCCAGTAGTTGTAGGCTAGGTCTAGGCGGGTACCAGTCCAACCAGTCTGAGTCTAGGGCCTGTACGGGCAATATCAGAGTCTGCAATGATGTTTGGCTCCAAAAGGGAGGAGGTAACGGTTGCTTGGAGGCTGCGCGGCCTTTGGAAGTCACCACCCAAGAGGCAAGTAGGCCGCTATATCTCCAGGAGGAGCACAGTGCTCGTCCTTAGTCTTCGTTGTGCAAGTTTGGCGACACACTGCTCGGAGCGTTGGCTGGAGGAGCGCTGGGCATTGCAGCGCTGTTAGGAGGAAGGAGACCGGCAGCTCCCTCCTCGGCTATGGTGGAGCTCTACCGGTAGGAGGAGGAGGAAGAAGAGGGCTAGGAGGGAGACTGGCGAGGTACCTACCTGGCTATGGTGGGCACCATCGTCATCACCTTGTTAGGCGCCGCATCTGGAAGGCCCCAGTTGGGGTTGCGCCGTACCAAAAGGGCTTCAAGGAGGGGACAGGCATGGCGGCCTGAACAGCAGCGAGCATAGCTGCTTTGTGTTGTCCTTTGCACAGCAGGGCGAGGCCCTAGTAGTCAGCCATAGCCTTGGCCTACATGAAGAGGAAGAAGAAGGGTGGCCATGGCTATAGTGGACCTCATGTTGTGCCTGCAGTAGAAGTGGCAGGCACAGCACCGCCGCGAGAAATGGGAAAGTAGCGGAAGGGGACGGCACTGGTTGCGGGGGGAGGGTCAAAGCACCAGGGGAGAAGGAGAAATCGGAAGGGCGATGCGGAAGGGGCTGCTTTCTCCGTTCCCCCCGATGCTTTATCCCCTCCCCCCCCACTGATTCCCGGCGGCCACCTTCCCCTTCCAGCGCTGCTACTTTCCTCCTCCACCGCACACCTTCTCCCTCCCCTGGCCGGCGTTTTCCCCCTCCCCCCTCCGACGGTTTCCCCCTCCCCCAGCCGGTGCTTTTTCCCTCCCTCCCTGGCACATCAGTTGTGAAAGTAGTTTGATTACATAATGGAATCAGTTCAAAACTGATCCTATTACGTAATTGAGTCAGTTTCAAAACTGATTCGGTTACGTAATAAATCAATTTTGAAATTGATTCCATTATGTGATGGGATCAGTTTCAAAAGTGATTCAATTACGTACTAATCGAATCAGTTTTTATTACTTTTTAACCTGATCCGATTGCGTAATCGAATCAGTTTTTGAAACTAGTTCGTTTACACAACCGAATCGGTTTCAAAACTGATTTGGTTACGTAATCCAATAAGTTTTGCGACTCGTGCAACAGGGAGGGAGGGGGAAGGGAGGCGGTGGGGGAGGAGACGGAAAGGGGATGGTGGAAGGGAAGAAAGGGAAGGGGGCGGGCGTGAAGGAGGGGAAACGGTGCTGCTCCTGCTGCTGTCAGTTCTGCTGCTGCTGCTGATCTGCTGCTGCGACTGCGACTGCGGCTGCTGCTGCGGCTGCTGGAAGCTGCTGCTGCTGCTGTTGGTAATGATGATGAAGATGCTGCCGGTGCACCTCGTGATGGTGGTGGTGCTGCCGCAGTTGCTGGTACTGATGCTGCTGCTGTTGGTGGTGATGATGAAGATGCTGCCAGTGCACCTGGTGACGGTGGTGGTGCTGCTGCAGTTGCTGGTACAGCTGCTGCTGCTGCTGCTGCTGCTGCTGCTGCTGCTGCTGCTGCGTGAAGTATTGCTGCAGATGATTTGACCTTTCGAGCTCCTCAGGAAATAAATCGGTAATGACATCTGAGTACGACTTTCTTTGCTTTTGTGCCCTTTGCCATATCCAAAGAGTGGAACATTGCTAGTGTAATCATTATGCAGAATAACAGGCCATCAAAAAACAAAACAGGCATGAAATGTGCAAAACAACTGCACATCATAACAACATGTTTGCTGGCAGTGTGAGCTGCAAATGCCGAATCGGTTCGTGCATGGGAGTCCCGGAGCCGACCCACCCCGAGTCCTTCGACCCAGAATTCGCTACTTATTGTCCAAGCCTCGCTTGTGCATGTCCTTCAAATTTGTGGAACAACTATTATGTTATTGTCTTTCGCTCTCCCGAGCTGGTCTGCTTGCTGAAAACATGTTGTTGTTGTTGTTTTGGTTTGTTGGGCACATAGTTACAGGTAGCGCTGCGTTTTCTGAAAAGCTACTTGTTGGGAAAAAGAGTGAAAAAAAAAAAAAAAAAAAAAAAATAGAGGGAAAAAGAGTGCGTGATTTTGCGAACTGGACATTTTTCTTGGTCCAGTTTTCACGGTGCTTGTGCATGGCCCCTTGCAAGGATGACACACATAAAGTGAGAAATTAAAAAAAGAAAGGAAAAAAAAAAGCAGAAGAACAAGAACAAGGGGGGGGGGGGAAAAGAAAAAGAAAGAACCAGAATAAGAAAGGTCTGGCATGTGTCTGATTCAGAAACAGTTCAGGAAAACCTCTGCGCCGCGAACTGGAACCACCGCACTACCTTCTTCCCCCGAATACAACGTAGGGTCATTATAGCTGTATCTAGACTGAATGATGCCTCAAATACAGCTATAATGACCAGACGTTGTATTCGGGGGAAGAAGGTAGCAGGCGAAGTAGGGCGAAACGTGGGTCTGTCATTTCGCCCCATTCTGAGGCCTCTGGGGGAAACTCCGTGTGCGCAGCACTTGCCACCGGGACAGTAGGAAGGCTGAGGTCCGAGGCTTTTTTTTTTTCCCTAAGTCCCACCAGCCAGGGTTTCATCTTCCCTTCGAGTATTTTTCGACTTCAAGTTGGCCACAGTTCAGCTGTGAGATTTTCAGATCGGATGGCAGGAACCTGTGCATATGGAAAACCAAGTCTAAACCCCCGCTACGGGGACCTAGCCCCAGTGCTGAAACTGCTTTTTTAAGTTTTTTTTTTTTTTTTTTTTTTTTTTTTTTTGAATTGACGGCCCGGGCTGATGCTAGGGTTGCTGGTAGGACCAGGCACCTCTAGCGCTCCCGGGGAGGCTCCATCACTTGGTTGGTGGGGAGCAGCACCTGGTGGAGAGCGGGTCCAGCGTCCCTGATCATTGTAATTGTTTGTTTGTACAAGCACATGACTTAAGCATTATGGCAGAAATGACAGGAAGCTGCAGTGCGGGCCTAGCAAGAAGGGAATTGGTCAGGCAGAACAGCTCAGCAGCCTAAGTTGATTGCCTGCATAATAGCTTAGGGAAGAAAGAGATAGTAACCACAGGCCCCATGGCTACTTGTAAGAGAGAATGGATCTTCAGCCTGCTGCTAGACGCCTGGCATCACATTTAACCAATTTAAAGCACCTCTTTTCCTGCACAGCCCCCATACCAGGCTATTACCTGCCAAGCTCCACTATTGACTGAGGAGCGGGGGCGAAAGGGGTCCGGGAAGTCCGATGCTGCTTGCATGGGGATCGAGTTGTCAATCTGGGTCCAAAAAAGAAAAAGAAACAAAAAAAAAGTTGTCTATCTGGGGGATTCTGATTCTGGGTCCAGTTGTGAAAAATGAGATGATAGTCTCTGATGAGCTCCCCATTGTGCTGGCCCTGTCCACCTTTCCGAACCAATTGCTCGGTCCAATTTTTCTTTTCTTTTCTTTTCTTTTCTTTTCTTTTATTTTATTTTTTAATCTAATCTATATTCTTCTCTCAATATCCTCCCACTAACGACCTACCTATATGTGGTTCTCTCAGGGCTTGATTCTGGTCCCTACTCTACACGGGGAGCAGCACCCTGGCTCCTTTTTTTTTTTTTTTTGTGTGTGTGTGTGTGTGTGTGTCGGGAAAACACCTGGTGCGAGCTGGAAAGCGGAGCGCACTTACTTTCACAACCAGCCAGGAACCCCAAGCCAGTTATATCCGCGGGTGAACCTGAAAGTGGATCACAGGGGGTCGCGGGGATAGAATGGACGACGTGGGGAATCGAACTCACGACCTCCTGAATACCACTCATGTGCTCAACCAATTGAGCTAGCCCGCTTGGGCTTGCTCCGTCCAATTTTGATTCTTGAAGTTCGTTGTCTTCTTTTTTTTGTCGCTCCACTTTGACTATGCTACAAAAAAAAAACGTGGGACCGGTGGGACTTGACGAGATCAGTGCCGGTCCCACATCCCAGCACTTGACTGACCATGCTGACCTGGAATCACAGTACTCAATCCCCACAGCCCCACCATTTGCTCATCCCTACCTCGCCTCCTCAAGGGTAAATTGGCCTTTTTCCATTTTTCCTTTTTCCTTTTTTCCCTTTTTTGTGAACAATCCGGGAGCATTGCCCGGTTTCACTTACAGGGACAAAGGCTTGAGGGGACCAACCCCTTTTTTTTTTTTTTCCCCACAACGGGCCCAGTGCCCAAGGCTGATATTAGAAATGATAACATCGAGGCCGGGGTCCTTACAATCTACCCGGATGTGACAATACCTGGGAGCCTTACCCAGTTTCGCTTTTAACGAGACCCAAAGGGACCCGGAATCCAAAGAGATCATGTCAAATCAAAATGAGCAAGATGCCTGCCTCTTCAGCATTTTAAGAGCCGCCAGATCTATCATGACACACCAAGCAGCTACATCAAACTCTCTTCTTCACTGCACAGCGGTTTTCACCCCTTACCACACACTAGTCCTTTTTCTATAAAAAATGATTATGGTACCTCTACCAGAGATGGATGTGATGGGGGAAATGGATCTGCAAAATCTCTAGGGTCCCTGAGAGAGGCTCCTGGTCGTAGTGAAAACCAGTCCTTGAAGTAGAGCTGGAAGTCTCTTTTGAAAGAGACTTCCGACCCTTCTCCCCTTGGCCACGTCACCTCTCCCAGACTCCTCTCTCCTGCACCACCCAGCCAGTCCAATGCAAATTCCTTAAGAGTTGAATGTTCTTTTTCCTTTGGTGTAATAATTTGTAATTCTTTGTTCTAATAAAGTAGATAGTTTCGCTCCAGCAAATTTGTTCATAAATTTCATGCTCTCTTCTCACCCGGGATTACGTTTTTTTTTATTAGTTCTATCCATCTTCAGGGACCCAAGGACTCGAAAAATCAAAATAACGAAATTCTTGAGTCATTTCAATAGGCTCAGAAATCACATGTTTCTCTGAATCATCGTATCGTACTTCCACATATCCACTTAAGGGAAAGTCTTTTCGTAATGGATGACCCTCAAAACCATAATCTGTTAATATACGCCGTAAATCAGGATGGTTGGAAAAATACACACCAAACATATCTCATACTTCTCGTTCCCACCAACCAGCTGTCGTTTCCAACTTGAGTAATGAATAACCTCATGCATGATGGATGACTCCAATCAGGAAGTCGCCCGATATCATACAGTTACGACTCTGGCGAGTCTCTTCGAGTGTCTCCAACCACTCTGGCCAGACCTTTCTGCTCGAGCGAGCCTGTACGAAGAAATGTGTCTCGAAAGAGCGAGCTGGGAGTCTGGATTTCGAAACCTGGTTACTAGTCATTGCGTGGTTTCTTTAGGTTTTTGCCTGCTATATGATATAGCAATTGTAAAACTGGAAAACTCAACAGAATAGCCATGATTTTGAGTAACGAGTGACTTAGTAATTGTGAAATTAAAATCTTTTGTAAACGAGTGGATGGTCCACTTAAACAATGTTAGTTACCGGGGATAACTTGATTCAAATGTTTTTAGGATGGGAAGGAGTAGGTCTTGCATCGTATTTGTTAATTAATTTTTGGTTTACATGACTTCAAGCAAATAAAGCAGCTATTAAGGCAATGCTTGTGAATCGAGTAGGTGATTTTGGATTAGCTCTTGGTATTATGGGTTGTTTTGCTATTTTTCAAACAGTAGACTTTTCAACCATTTTTGTTTGTGCTAGTGCCTTTGTGTGGGAACCTTCTTTCATTTTTTTTTAATATAAAAATTCATGCACTAACTGCTATTTGTGTTTTACTCTTTATTGGAGTTGTAGGAAAATCCGCACAAATAGGACTCCATACTTGGTTACCGGACGCTATGGAGGGCCCTACCCCAGTATCAGCTCTGATTCATGCAGCCACTATGGTAACAGCAGGTGTTTTCATGATGGCAAGGTGTTCTCTCTTATTTGAATACGCGCCCATGTTCCAAAAGAGTTGTTAAGGTTCTTGCGTCGCCATCTTGATAAATAAAATAAGATTGTCCAAGAAAACAGTGCGAGCCCGCTGACATTTACAGAGTTGAGCCTGTTCTGGCGAATTGCAGTCACTTTCGGATCAAAGCGTCCTACAGTTAACCTGTATTTTATATTATATTATACGTGGGGAAGCGCGCGAACGTACGCTGTTTGTTATACTTCCTCGAGCTTCCTCGATAATCGTTTTCAATACTGAATTCATTATCCGTAAATTAACATACATGAACGGATGGAGAGGGATTCGAACCCCCGATATTTTGTAATATGTCAGTTTTCAAGACTGATACCTTCAATCACTCAGACATTCATCCAAAGCAAAGACGCTCCTTGTACCTTTCTTTCCACTCCATCAAACACATCGTCAGTGAAGATAAGATCCGGACCGTTGTATAATTTAGAAAGTGGCACATCCCAATGAGCTTTGAATTTTGTTTGTATAAATTGAACAATATATTCATAAATTTATTTTTATTTTTTTTGGGTTGGGCCGCCCTTCCCTGGCTTTGCGGGGTCTCACTTCCCTCTCGTTCCATTGCTTCCCCTTCCTGGCCCTATCGGATCAAAGCCTTCGGTCTTCTTGAGTTGGTCGGGGGAGTTAGTCCAGTGGAGGGATTAGATGGGGTAT